CCTTCATCATCAACACCCTGATGCCGGAGGCAGTAAGCACCTTTAAATGGCAGTAAGCTTCTACCAGACTATGCACCACAGCATCCAAAATCATTGGTCATTTTCATATTTGCCGCCATGAGAACGTGAAATCTCACATCCAACCAAAATCATCAAAATGACTCTCGTGTAATTTATATATCTTTCTTCTTCTATGGCTCTCCGGTCCGTATTCGGTCCATGACCTCCTCAATTCTCCTCTTCTATTCGGTCCTCTGTTAGGTCCGTCTGTCTGAGGCTTTGATTGAGGTTTCGAAACATCTTCCTGAATATTGTTACTGCATTCAAGCTGTCTCTCGTCCTAATCCAGCCTTACATCTAGTGAATATGTACGCCAATTCCACGGGAATAAAGTGGCTGATCATTCAGCTGTTTCTAGTCTCGTGGTGCGGAATGAATTGAGCTTTACCCCCACACTGTCTGGTCCTGAAATGCATTCGCGGTTTAAGCACCAGTTTTGCCTGTTATTTATAGTATTTTCGAGTAGAATGAAAAGAAGACGATGCCGAACTCTGATCTGAAGGACTTGCATAATTTGTAATGATTATGGATTATTTTATGTCTGTGTGCGAACAACTCGCATTACAAGAAATGTGTTGCGGAAATTGAATTTGAAAATTGTTGCATCTTTGTTTCATGTCTGCACTGATCAGTAAGAATGGTGAGGTAAGTACAACAGATTGTTTGCCGGAATAGTTTTAATTACTCGGAAGCTTCGCTGTGCCAGTAAATAATTAGGAATTTGAGTCTGTGATGGGGTATGAATCAAATTACTGACATCTATATTTCCAGAAATTTGTAGTGGTTGATTCATTTGTGTTACATTCTTTGCGGGTTCATAGGAACGGTTTATTTCTGATGAAATATTTCGTAATTTTGGCCGGTTTAGTTCGTAATGTAATAATTTAGTGGATATAATTATGCTGGTTTGATATAATCATAGATTATGTTAGAGATCTGTATAATTAAAACATTATAATTCTACATTATGGTAGTACAAAGCGTCTGCGAGTAGGTGACTCTGCCAGGGATAATTGTATCTAATTCTGCTGTTAGGTTTTTCTGCCAGTATTATACTAAAATGTAATTATGTGGTATTATGTGAGATTGAGTGTGTTTTGTTTTTGAATATGGTGGAATAACGGTGGCAAAAGCAGTGTGAATATCAGCGATTGTACCAAGAATGAAATTGTTAAGGCTTTTTTTAGAATTACATTTTGTAACAAATATGAATGAAATTACCTTTTTGTAGACCCGTACTGTCTCATATTTTTTTAATCTCAGCCAGAGACATTTTGAAATGGAACAAAATCTGAAAGGCCGTTGTATTTTTTGTGTCACAGGGTGGTGTTCAATCAAATGTTGTTCCTCCAGAATTGGTGGTAGTGTTTGATGTGCGATTGGCTGTGACAGTAGATCATGCAGAGTTTGAGGCTATGGTGAATAGATGGTGTACTGAAGCGGGGCCTGGCACGTACGTTGAGTTTGAGCAGAAGGAACCCAAAATACAGGTGACCAAACTGGACAGTTCCAACCCGTGGTGGCTTGCTTTCAAGAGAGCTTGTGATGATATGTGAGTTCTTATTCTGATTTATATAATTAAGATGTTGATAATTCGGAACTATGAAAGGAGTATTGGTAGGGTTTAACTTGTCGTGCTGTGCACGGGTTATGAACGTTATTATTCTAATTACTATGGTATTTGCAAGGATCTTTGACGAAGGTGTATCGCATCATCATTCGACAAGTAAGCCTAACTATATGTGACTTTCCAACTTGGAAATACACTATCAAAGGAAAGTTTGTGTAAATAAAATCTATCATGAAAAGGATTAAGTTACTTGATGGAAGAATGTCATTAATAATTTGGCAATGATTATGTGTTACTGAGAGTTAAAACAAAAGTCATCACTGTTATATTGGACGCCGCTCTTTGTCTTAGTTATGTTTAAAAAGCTTGCATTTTAGAGAAGAGGGGTGCCTGTTCTGGTGGGTCCCTTAGACAGAGCTAGCCTCCATCACAAATAACCAAGATGACGGACAATGTCCAAAATAACAGTTGATCTTAATGCAAGTCACACTGTCAGAAACCTTAAGAGTTAAAATGTGAAAAATGTTTGATGATGATGGTATGGTGGTCAAGGGTGATAAGTGTTTTTAAAATGAGGTTAATGCGGTCGTTGCCAGTCTTCGTTGTTGACACTCTGTCAACTTACAGGTTGTTAACAACATTTCAGAGTAATGTACCACCTCTGTCATCAAGATGAAATCACATGGCATCATTTAATGATATATTTTACTTACTGTTTTGTGAATATTAATAATACCCAGAATACCAGTGACTGACTTTCACTGCCATGAGAATCTAAAATATCAAAGACAAAGAAAGCTGGAGACCTGTTGATCCAGATACATATTTACTGTCTGAAGGTGTTAGCTCAGTCAGTATAGTGACTGGCTATGGACTGGGCGACCGGGGTTTGATCCCTGACGGAGGCAGAGGATTTTTCCTCGAGCCTCTGCGTCCAGACCGGCTCTGGGGCCCACCCAGCCTCCTATCCAATGGGTACCGGGGGGACTTTCCCGGCCTGCATGGCGTATAGTGGGACAGCTTTACTTTTAGGTGTTCAATGACTTTGTTTCAGCCACATAGGTTATGTAGTGTTGAATAGTAGGATGATTGTGGAATAAAGAGAAATGATGTGTAAATCAGTTTCTGTCACACCGAGAGATCCACTTATACAAGCTGGATTCAACTACCTCGGGGTAGGCATTTGTGAATATACTATTGAACATTAGTTTCCACAAAGTGCAGGGGCTCTGCTTTGTGGAATTAGTTATAACAACAGTGCTTCTTAAGTTGGTCCCTTTGGAAAAACATCGTCAAACCTGTTATGATCACCCACCACCTGTCTGATATCTACTTGGTTTACAACCCGTTATGAGCGTACATACCCAGACAGCAGGTTGGCATCTTGCAGAAATGAATAAACATGTCTTTTAATGCCACCGCTAAGAATACATCTGCCTGTTCTTATTAATTTTATTGTGTGTTTTACCTGTTTTAGGAAGTTAGAATTGAAACCTGATATATTTCCTGGTGGAACGGATAGCCGTTATGTGAGAGGGGTAAGTTCAGAGTAAGATATCTTGTGCAATTGGATTTGAATGTACATTTAACTGTGTATATTTGGATTACAAAAGTGCTGTTTTACTTTAAAAGTGGCTGGAAACAAAGTGCTTTTTTTTTTATGAACATGACTCTTCTGGAATCTTGCGCTGTGTAGTGTGGTAGATATTAAGCAATGTTTCAGAGGAGCTCACTGTCTCTGTCATCAAGGTGATTACCTCAAAATGTCAGTTAATGTTTACCAGACTACATGGCGTAGCATCGTAAATAACAGCTGTGTTCATACTTATTGCTGTGAGAAACTGAAATATAATCTGCTTTCTTTTAGGTTGGTTTACCTGCCCTAGGGTTCTCGCCAATGAATAAAACTCCAGTACTGCTTCATGATCATGATGAATTTCTCAATGAAGATGTGTTCCTGAAGGGCATCGACATCTATTACCAGATTATCCCGGCTGTTGGCAATGTTCCCTCTGCAAAGAAATGAGTGTTTGTATCTTCATGGGTCATGTAAGTTTGTCAGAAATATCCAAAGCTCTGTTTCCAGTGCTCTGTCAATGTCCCCGTCTTACTCGATATGTCTATTTTTATAGGTTTGCAAAGATGCCTTCACATGAAGTGATGTTGAAATTGTGAGTAGCAGCGTCAGCAGTAGTGTATTCACCTTTACCGTATTGAGTAATCTCCTTCCTGTTGTATGCTAACTGAACTTTGTTTACGTACGTTTACTTGCCATTGTGCAAAATACGTCTTTAATTTTTGAAGTAGATAAAACCAATTGTGTATGTGCATTTTTTTAATTAGTAAAGAGTATAGTAAATTCTTTTCGGGCTACCGCCTTGATCATACGTTAGTAAAGAGTAGGTTAATTTTGTAGGATATTCAGTTGATTTCCACAGACCATAGAAATAGAGCCCACTTCAAATTTGATTACCTCATTTGCACTTTTACTGCTTTGTGATTTTATAGTGGTTTAACGTCTTAGGCTGGCGCCACACGACCGTACAAAGTACGTCCGTCGTAACGCAGTTCGTGATGTCCGTCATAGAATTATGAAGGGGCATATAGGATACAACACACATGTGCGTGTGCTTCGTGTGTTGTACCCTATATGCCCCTTCATAATTCTATGACGGACGTCACGAACTTCGTTACGACGGACGTACTTAGTACGGTCGCATGGCCCCAGCCTTAGTGCCATTTTGAAGCTTACAGTTTCTTTGTTATAATTCATTAATAACAAAGTGTTTTATTATGGTTATTCTGATGTAAGTTATTCTATCATGGTTAGTAAATATTTTTTCTTTCAAAGTTTTGTTGTACGGTGCAGATGACAGGATATCGCGACTGATTTGAATAAATAAATTACATGCAAAAATACGTGCATCGTGGAAATTCTTAAGGTATAGCAATATAAATTCTGAGCTAGCATCAAGCACAAATAACATTCCCATTATACTATCGTTGCTTATTATTTATTTATAAAAAAGTAAATGTAAAGCTGTTCCACTATACGCCTTGTAGGCGCTTGGGGGAGGGGATGCATAGCTCCTACTCATTCTTGAGAGTTTATGTTAAATGATAGATGCTTGCTATCCTTAGGTGGCCTAATAATGTTTATAGTTGACATATTTTTAATTTTGCCGTGCTCAGTCGTTATCAGCGCTATATACAATTGCTGAATGCAAAATATCTGTGTGTGCGAGCTGTGTCATAGTAAGAGTGGAACGGGGGATGTAAAGGGTAAGGGGGTGCAGGACACAGTATGTTTTCACATGGCAGTCTTTCTCTCGCTCCGCATATCTTGGCTGACTGGCCGGACGGCCACCAACGTGTTTATTTGTAAGAGTTGATGAAGCTCAGAGGTATCTTGCGACAAGTATAAATAATTTGAATGATATTATAAAGGTTGTTAAGAGAAAGATGAGCTCTTATGAGAGAAAGGACCTTAAAGATGCTGGAAGAATGTAATATGAATATTTATTCACCGTGAACTTTGTTGATGAGTATAGTGACTCCTCACTGACAAAATTTGTCTGGAAAGTGACTGTGATGAAAGGTGCCAGTTTTTTCATCCATTGTGCAAACATGTATAGAACCTAATGAGGAATAACGTTGTGGTATGCGGTGTTCTTAATCATCCCTGTTGGCCTTTGTTCTTTTGTATTGATCCAATTTTTTTATATTTTGTGCTTGAGTGTTGGTAAGTTATGTTATATTGTTTTGTTAAATTTGATTTGATATTGTTTATCATGTTTGTATATTAGAGATATGTTTAATATTATATTAATACAAAATCAGGGAATTCATATTTGTGTGTGTGTATATATATACACATATACTGCTTCTATTTAGATAATGCAATCTGGGGCAAATTCAGCAATTACTCCGTAGGAAGAATAGATACCAAAACATAAATTTACGGTAATTAAAGCCAAATATGTTCATTCGTTAGAGCAGCGCTTTTTGCCATTTGATTTGCTCAGAATTCTTCTCCATGTGTTTTTATATATATTTTACAGATTCAGTTCCAGAACAGATTTGTAAAATTTTGTGAGAAAGTGTTACGATTTTAAATGCGATTTTTTGATTATAATATGTTTTATCCTACTTTTTCACTATTTGTGTAATTTATCTTAGTGAGGAATGATAATGGGTAGTATATAAGAACAGTAACTTGTGTGGCTTGACATTTTTATGTGCTCTGCATCATTGTTTATGTGATGCACAGTATACGAGACGCGTCACTGCCGCAAACAAGTCCGTTTGACACTACTTGACTACTGAAGTGTAAGTTGGACTTATATAAAATTGTGTGCCTGTTGTTATATGTATATCAGTTTTATCTGGAACTTTTATTTAATCAACATTTTAAATAAACATGTATGAAAATTTGGAGTGTGCCATTATCATGTATGTGAGATACTTCAAAAATGTATGAGCACCAATTAGCACAATATTTTGAAATTATCACAATTTTATGTTGAAGGTAAATCATTTTTAGATAACCTGTTTGTTGAATACTTGGATATCTGTGTTGTGTATCAGCCTATTTCTGAGATGCGTGAAATTCTGACCCTGTAATCAGTTGTGCAATTTCAGAAGTAAAAAAAAAAAAATGTAAAATGAAAAGAAAGTCTTGATTTTTCATAAAATCTTCTTCTTCTTCTTCATCTCGGTAAAAGTTAGTTGTGGATGTACCGATTCTGTCAGAATGGTAGAAAATGAAGGCATCAAACCCTGAAGATGGAGGTGATGTGTTCTTTTAAAACATTGAATGCCACCTATAAGAGGAATGGTGTGACATGTCAGAAGATAATGTCCTTGTAAGAGATTTATAATTGAATTAATTAAGACAGTCAATGGAGCATCATGCAATTTAGTTTTATCAATTTGATAATACTGAAAGTGACATTTAAATATAGGATTTGAGACTTTCGCGGCGAGTACAATCAATAACATCTTCTCGGTAATGGTAACCAGCTAACGCGGCTGATTGCCCGAGAAGATTTTATTGATATAATTTGGAACACTATCAATATCATAACTTGTCAGTGCTTAAGAAACTATGAATCCTAGACACTTGATAGGATTCCTTGGACAGGGTATTTGCTTCTTGCAGCATCTCTACCGACACAGGACAGTGGAATGTGGCAGCGTGGACATCCGTGCCGCAAGTGGGATTCAAACTCATGATTCTAGTACTTGTGCAGTTCAAAGACTTTTTTGGTAATGGCTATTGGAAAATTATTGGTTAAATATTTATTGGTTCAAAATTAGTAATAGATTAGTTCAAACATATTTTATTTGACACAAGTTTTTGGTTATTGTACTTCTGATTGTGTAATGGTGTAATGGCTTATGTGCATTCAGATTTATTCGTTTTCCTCTGGTGTCTGCTTTAGAGACTAGATTTTATGATGCTTTGGAACTTCTGCTTTGGCAGATGTTTCTTACATCCAAAAATCCCATTCCATTTTACATTTTTGTTTACTGTGAGGTGAAATTACCCTTGACCCTAATAGTCCAGAAAGAAGCAGCAGTGTGCTAGAATTAGACACCTCACCATTCAGAATAAATGGGTCACATGTGAAATATTTGTGTCATTTAATTGGCCATAAATGTTTATGAACAGAATGTATTTTTCCGGGGAATTATTGTGTATGATGACTGGTATATGAAATAAGAATGTGTAATGTTGGTACGTAATGGAAGCAACTTCTGCTAATTTGTATAAATTTATTGTAAAAGTAAAAAGTACATTTGATGTATCCTTAATGTTTAGTTCCGATGATTGTACCATATTCAATTAATATGTAAGATTCTTTGCCCATTTTACCACGTGCATTTAAAAAGGAGCACGTGGTTCAACTGTGCTTCAGGCAATTATTTCCCGCCTTTGTCTTGTTTACTTCGCCTACCTTCGCCCCTCCATTTTTAGCCGTAATAGACTGTTCCGGGGTAAACATACTTTTAATTTTATCATTATTATTAGTTCAGTTAGAATAATAGGTAAACGTTTATTTTCTGTTGATGTAAGTTTTGTAGTAGTTGTCAGTTTAAAGCTTGAAGTAAGAACTTCTGTTCAATTTCTTAATTTGCTGTTCCTTTCATGATTTTGCCGCCTGTTCGTGACGGCCATGTTTATAAAGATTAAAGGGTTGGGTCTTGGGTGTGTTCTTTCTCTTGGTGAAACATGGTTGTTCCGAGTTACGTTTAATGCAGGTAGAACACATTGTTTTATCTGTTTTTTACTTTGTAATTTCGGGAGCGATGATAATTATATCAAAGCGTGGTGTGACTTAAGAAGTAATCCTAAGTGATGTGTTTATAAACAATATTTTGTTGGTGTTATTTACTGTCAGCCATGTGCACCATTTTCGATTTGGACACGGCCTCATCCCCCTTTCATGGATTCACCAATCACGCAAACCCGGGAAAATCCTACGATTTGTACTAGCCAATGACGAGCGCTGAATTTCAAATTTCAGGCTGTCTTTGTCCGGGGCCAACAGACATTCTACGGTTTCCATAGGAGAATGGGATGTTGTGTGTAAGTTTGGTTTGTGCAGAAAATTGTTAAATATACATGGTGGAAAGGGAAGATAATATACGAAGACGTCTGTTAATTTATCTAGGTGCATATACGGTAAGTGATGGAAATGTATTGCATGCAGAATGTGTCTACTTTATGTTAAAATAGTGCAAAATTTATTGTAATATGACTTGACATCGGCACAGTGGAATTCGTTACTTGCTGAGCCCGCTCTTGAAATTTAAAATTCAACATTTTATTTGACTTCTTTATCAAAGGTGTATAGTTTGACTGTGTATATATTGCATGTATAAAGTGTGGTTGTTGCTATTATAATAGATGTATAATATCGTTTTCCTGGGAGTTATATGCGTTTTAGAATGTTGTGAATTGTGGACGAGTTCACTTTTTGTCTAGGCGGGAACACCATTTTCAAGGTTGCTATGGATCTGATCGTAACTATGGCAACGATAAATGTGTGTGTTTAATTTCTTTTTCGTGGTTCGGAACATTTTATTTTCCACGTATTGTTCATTACTGCTGTGGAAGGTAGAACTGGCAAATACCCAATCCATGTTGGAATTATGATTTAATGCATATCAATATACCAAATATATTTGACTTATAGTTGACATGATTACTTTGAGGGTTATGGTTTATGTATTTAACCCCAGGAAGCTCATTTCATGTATGCCAGTAATTTTTACCATGCAAAATGCGTAAGTTGGTAAATAAACTATACAAATTCCATGTCTTGCATGTTTCATAATTAGGTAGAATTTTAAATTACTCATTCTCTAATTTTACACCAAATTACATATTGCACAAAATATCTTGTTAGAAGAGATTTAATAAGTAGATCAAACATGAAGGGACATTGCGATATTTTGAAATAAATCAGCCCCTTTTGCTTGAAACACAGCTTTCCATTGTTATTTTCTGTTGAGGTTTTTAATTACTACAGTGCCTACATTGTAGTGATTCTGATATTTTAAATCTGGAGGCATAATTGCACTGTTCTGAATGATTGCTCTGTACCCAATTTAAACGAGTTGCATACTTCGATCATAAAAGCTTTTTTTTCTAGTAGTGGGAGTACGTAGCTTCTGTGTGGGATAGAAATTATTTAAACTTTGTATGAAAAGCACCCACATTTATTATATTTGGATTAAATTATTTCATAATCTTCTGCCTACAGTTAGATATCTAAATCACTGTAAGAAAAAGTTTTATTCAGCACTAAAAGAATGTCTCTTATGTCACTCCTACTCTATTGAAGAATTTACCTTAACCAAAAATTCACAGCTGTTATAAATACTTGTAACTAATAATGGCAATGCTTTTGTATATAATTATTTTTGCTGCAGTACTGTAGTAAACTGTAAATGCCATTACTATTTATTGGCTACTCTGTAAATAACTAATGGATATGAAGACTAGTTGTCATTAGTGGCAATCCTGGCAAAAGAGAAATGTATGTTAGAATTGTAATGTGTTTAGAAAGTGCATATGTTGTTTTGACATCCGTGATTTGCAAATATGTAATAGATATCATCTAGTTTTTTTCTGGAATTTTTCACTCTATCTCCTCCCTCCAAGCCTCTTAACCATTCATTACCTTGTAAACTCCCCTCCCCTCTCCTATGCATGCCGCATGTCCCACCCAACTTATCCTTGTTGATTTAATCATTGTAAAAATATCAGGTGAGGAGTACAGGTCATGAAGATCATCATTGCGATAATGTGTAGAAAGTCTAACGTGCTGTTAAGAGTTGTGCTTATGTTCGTTTGCTGTAGTTTGGTGTTTACTGATTATTTATAAGAACTGTTAGAACACTCGAGAAAGTAAAGGCGCATTTCATGAAGGTTTTGCAACAAGCAAGTTGTTTAAGGTGGGAGGAATGGAAAATGTGACAAAAATCCAAACTGTTATTTATTCTTTTCTAGGAGGCAGTGGTATCTCAAGATGGACCTCTATCTAAGCACACAGGACACGCTGTCATTACAAGAAATGCTGGATTGTGATATAAAGACAGAAATAGATAGTGTATTAGCAGGCACAGATTTAAGTCTGTCGCTTAGTGAGTTACCACCGCTTGATTTAGACGAAGCTTTAGGTGGATCTGGTGACATGACCATGTGGTTCACGAGTAATGGTTGTCTTCACAGTGGAAACAGCAATTCTTCAAATTCAAATTTTAACTTGGATTTTGTAGGCAGTGATGCAGCAGCCATGATGGTGAACCCCAGCAGTGTAATGCCAATGACTTTGGTCTCAGTTCCGCCAACGACTGCATTTACAAATATATATAACAGTTCTTCGAGTTCAAATTTATTAATCACAACATCTTCATCCTCTGCATCATCTTTGTCTCCCGTTGAAGAACAGACATTTTCACCCTCAGATTCTTCGTCAAGAGCCGAAAAGACATCTAACTTTGTGAGGACTCTGACCACAACAGCTTCATCGTGTGGTTCGCCAACTCAGTCTCATCAGCTGACATCTACTACAGTAAGGGTAACAAATCCAACATCATCTTCACAGTCAAGTCATGTGAGCACCTCAAATTGCAGTGGACTTTCATCGTCATTGATAAAAACCGTCCCGATAATAAGTAGTAGTACAAAATCATCCCAACAAAAACACTTAGCTCATATTCAAGTGAGCAATGTGAGAACTGTGACACTTTCTCATCATCAAAGCAACCATAAGAGACAATCGCATTTGAACAATAATACAAAGCATTTTGCAGCTGACGTGGATTATGATGAAAGACCATATCCGAAGCCTGCCTACTCCTATTCTTGTCTTATAGCGATGGCTTTAAAGAACAGCAAGACAGGAAGTTTGCCTGTCTCCGAAATTTATAACTTCATGTGGTAAGTATTTCTTTAATGTTAGTTATGTTACGGGTAGGTCCCGCTTTACGACGCTTCATTTTACGCTGTTTCACTTTAACACCCTTTTAAAATAATGATGAAAAAATAAATAAAAAAAATATAAGAAGAAAATGCAAGAGTAAATGCAGCACAGGAAATGGGTACCTAGGTGGCACTAGTGTCGGCATCAGTTGCTTTCTCCTCGTCCGCCAGTACAATACATTATAATTCTTCCTCGATTTATGCTGCTTCAGCTAACGACCCTGTATTTGCAGAAGTTATTATCGTCTCTGTTCTGCCATATTTATAGCTAAAAGACATACCACGAGCTTGGGCAGTGTGCTTTAGTATATTGCTGGCAGAGCCACCTACTGGCAGGAACTCTGTATTATCGTGATCTCATGAGGTATGATTGTATTATTGTGGGAAGAGGTATGAAGTATATTGGAAGAATGAAGTGTTCAAATACATTGCTTTGTAAGGGTTAATTTTACATTGTTATAAAGTTGGTACATATTCCTTAGAAGATGATTTTTTGACAGGTGGCGGTCATCTTTCGTTTGACAGCCAGATCCTTTCTTACTTTTGTGGGAATGTTTACTCTTCCATTACTCTATTGTGCTTCTAGAAAGTGTTTAAACATTTGTGTTGAATTTATACGAAGATGAGGTACTTGTGGGTTATCAGGGCACATCGCTTTAAAAATAGGTTAGGTTAGGCTAATGTGTGTGGATAAATGACATAAACTTGAAAGTTATTATTATTTCAATAAATGACAAATTATTATATTTTATTTGGATATGCATGAGATGTTAATTGTTGTTACAACCTGTCTACGGAGGCCAAAATTCGCTTATAAATTTTAGAATCGTTTTAAAAATATCGGCGTTATCATTTGTATGCCGCCACATGAACAGGAGACAGAATCTTCCTCACTGTTAGGTAAATCCCAAATTTTTAACATGGTACCGAACAGCAATAAATAACAACGAACCAACAGATAACAACAACCGAGTATACGGGTATACTGATACGCATTCACAGTTTTCTGTCCAATCCAAGTCCAGATATTCGACTCTCCCGTTTTGTGTCCCGATAACCAACAAGTACCAAAGATGATAATATTCACAAAATGCAAAGGAATACGATCTGCTGACGTGTTTGTCTTATGTTTGAATGCAAGGCCATGGGACGTTTACAATGCAGTGAACACTCGACACATAAGCTGTACATAAAATCTCTTTCAATTTTCTTGGCTGTTTCTGAATTTGTGTCAGACTCCTACGATCGTTTCTGACAGAGTGGCCTAGGAGTTAGATCCTTAAGTGCTGACAAAATCACTGGACACTATAGAAGTGCACTGTGTTGGAGTTTGACTGCATTAATGACTTGCTTCTATAATTATTCACAGTGAACACTTTCCATACTTCAAGACAGCTCCAAATGGTTGGAAAAATTCAGTGCGACATAATTTGAGTTTGAATAAATGTTTTGAAAAGATAGAGAAGCCGGCAGGTAACGGAAGCCAACGCAAGGGTTGCTTGTGGGCAATGAACCCAGCTAAGATTGCCAAAATGGATGAAGAGGTTCAGAAGTGGTCCAAGAAAGATCCAATGGCAATTAGAAAAGCAATGATTTGTCCAGGTAAATATCCATGTTTTGTTTAAGGTCAGATTTTGTGACAAAATAGTGGAATATTAATAACATGTTACATTACAATTTAAATATAGCGAAATTAATTGAAATGTTTTATCATTCTTGTCCATCTCCGAAAATGTCATCATTTACGACAAAATTCACTCAAATTAAAACTGTGTTGAACAAAGACCTATCTTCTGTTGTATATTTTTTTATTAATTTAATTAAAAATAAATGTCACAGTCAATCCCTTTTCAACCAAAGGAGTGGGCTGGGTTCCCGAAAAGCTCTGATGTTACCAAGATCAATAACTTTCAGGAAATAGGGTGTTTTAAGTATTTTAAATTTTTTGTAGGTGCTGAGAATCGTAATCAGTGTCTAGTTTGTACATTTTGTGATTTTTTGTGTGTGTGCAGAAAATCTGGAGATGTTGGAGAGGGGAGAGATGAAGCGCGAGTTTTCAGGTCTCTCGAATATGAGTGGCGGATGTGGTACAAGTTTGTCAGGTGGCGAAGATAGCGATGATGAATTGGGTGGTAGTGCACCGCCCACACCGCTCACTCCGCTCTCTGCCTCTCAGAATGTTCCCGAGTTCATCGACATCAACCAACTCAATGGAGGTGGCGGAACAGACTCGTTTGATGAATCGAGTCTTACCGGGTTTGATATTGAGGTAATGATTATTGCTTTAGAACTGCATTTGATGTCTTCGCACATTTATTCCCATGATCCCTGCTTCTGGCTTATCTCACATCTAGATATTTTTAATAGTGCATGGTTTACAGCCTTATTCTTCTTCTTCTTCTTCTACTATTGCTCTCCGGTCCGTATTCGGTCCTCTGTTAGGTCCGTCTGTCCAAGGCTCTGATTGAGATTTCGAAACATCTTCCTTTTTACGGTGCAAGATTGTTAGCCTTGCGACCAACCCCCAACCTGGAGGACCTCTCCCCCTCGATCAATCTGGCTATATGGCAATGAAATGAATGTTGAATGATCTATGTATGTTCAGGAAATCATGTTAAAACTACCTGGTCCATGATTTATGAGAGGCGAGGAAAACAATCAGACAATAACCCACACCCTTTCTCCTGGACCTGTCACAGCTTTACCCGTGCCCCACCTGCTGTCATTTTAGGGTTCCTCCCCTTTTCAATGACAGGGATGTCGTGGTTTGGCTTTGAGAGAAAGGAAGACAGTTTTGGCCAAAAAGGAATACAGGTAGGCCCCACTTTACGACGGTTTATTTTACGCTGTTTCACGTCAACACCCTTTTAAAATAATATTGAAAAAATAAAACAAGTCTGAGAAGAAAATTTGAAAACGCAAGCGTAAACGCAGCATAGGAAGTGGGTACCTGGGCGGCGTTAGTGTCGGCGTCAGTTACTTTCCCCTTGTCTGCCATTACAGTACATTATAATTCTTCCTCGATTTATGCCACTCCGGCTAACGACCCTGAGAAGGTGGAACGTACGTAACCCCAGCGTGAATCGGAGTCTACCTGTATTACTAAGCTTATAATGAACACTGCAGTTAATAGCTGTACCTCACTAAAATTACCTGTACAAAGACAAGATTCCTCACTATAATATTTAAAATAATGAAAGTACTGTGTATGGGTTCTGTTCTGGTAACCTTCCGTATCGTATTCTTTACTCTCTGTCTCGGACATCGTGCTCAGAGTGTAGTTTGAGGGCAGCTTTACGTGTGTTTGATCACGGTCTTGTTATGGTGTGTCAGCCTTCATTTGGGTTAAACAAAATTATTTTATCTCTGCAGGTAGCTGATGGAATTTATGAAGAATTGGATGCACAGGATGAAAAACTAAATCTTGGTATTACTCTGACACCAGCTATGTCTAGTGACCTTATAACATCTTACAGTAGCATTTCTCTCCCAGTTACATCATCATCCTCCTCCAAGTCAAAACAGGAAGACAGTACTTCGGCAGAAAATGTTGAGGTTAGATTTGATTTTTAGTATGTTGTTTCTTTCCCTTCTTCTTTGGCTTAACGTTATGCATCTGATAACCACGGCTGTTTAGAATTAATGGAAGAAATTCGGTTCATAGGCAATTTTATTATTCAGTGCTCTGAAACTTATTCTTGTTTCTTCAAAAGTTCTCTTGCTCTGACCTGCCTTACATAAGTCGATGGAATCTGTTGGCAAGTATTTATTTATGGAGGATGGTGTGGGATTGTGAACAAGTTGATTTTATAAAGTGGATAGTTGATTAAATTGTGTTTCTGAAGCTGTCATATCATGTTAATTGAATTGCATAGCATTAATTGATATATGATAATAGTATGCTTGTTGTCTTGACAGGTTACTAAACGAAGCAGATTAAATGGCAACACAATACAGGGCAATTATGTGTATAAACCAATGGTAGTAGCGTCAACAGTCAGTGGAACTAGTAGTGTCGTAGGATCAAGAAGAAAAACGCCCTTACTCCTTCGAGCGTCTCCGTCTGCTTCATCATTAATCAAACTGGACGATCCATAAGAAGATAATTTCTTTTAATGGCAGTGCAATGTCATTTTAGCATTGTCCATTTGTCTCCTTACTTTAGAAACACTGGCTCCAGTCTTACTTCAAATGTTGTACCTGAAAGAAATTAATAGTTACGTGGTGTAATATTAAGTTACTGTAAACTGAAGCATTTTTTTCAATCATTTTGAAGTTGTAATTCATTATTTAACTTTCTTTCATAGTGCTTTTGAGTGACTGTACAATGCAGCAGCATTGAGTTGGATGTAGGCAGTATTAGCGTTAACCTCTTTGCCAAGTTCGACTTGTCGATCTTTGTCAGTAGTCTTCTTTTGATCATTTATCGTGTTCGCTACTGCCTATCTAAGTGACTGATCGCAGGACCCGATGTGTTTTAGGAGTTTTTGCGTGATATAATGCACCAGATTCTAGCTGTACTTTTGTATTTTAATTAACCTATGAGGTACATGTCATTGATTTATGAGGAATTAGAACAGGGTGACCTGTACCAAAATAGAACTGGAGGGGGCCAACCCAACTAACATTTAAATTTAACTCTTCAGCGTACAAGAGCATATCGATGCATTTTGAATTGGTTACATGCAGTACTTTGTCAAATATGCAGAGGAGTTGCGTATGTTTAAAAAAGTTTGTGGAGGGCTTTATTTACAGTCCCTAGCTTTGATGCTTTGAACGTACTTCCACTTGCTTATAGCGCTCAGTAGATATCATGCTCGCAGGTCTTCCCCATTCTAACTTAGCTTGGGAC